TCGGCTAATTACCTTAAAGATTGAGGAGCAACCTGATTTTGGGGTTTCGCTAGCTGGATGGGTCAGTATTCTATGGCTAGGCTTAGTGATGGATTGAGGTGATTCAGTCTGGATCCCGTGGCAGCTCACTGTGATCCGCCGTGGAGGCAACTGTCACTTCACCAACTAAGCACTAGGGGGAGTGTTACCTATAGGTGAACAAAAATATAGGCTAGAATACAGAAATTAACTTTAAATTTGAATTCAAACACCGTTTAAACTAAATTTAAATAAGTGAGTGGTAAAGTGAGAGAGAAGAAGGGGAGAGAACCCTGATTAACGTAAAGTCTGTGACCAGGACTGTAATTTATATGCAAATGTCAAAGGCTAAAAGGGTCTCTTAAGCCATAAAATCCCAAAGATCATGCATGATTCTACGCAGACGCTACAGCGTGTAGATTTCAATTTCTGTACAGTCTAATCTCTAACTCTCATACCATTTGAATTTCATATTAAGAAATTCTTTAATCCCAAAAAGCAAATTATGCTCCCTTCGAACCAGTAGTCTTTAAAATACAAATCTTGTGTAATCCCAGGCTATCTGTAATCAAAAGCACATTTAAAACTGGAATATAATTTAATTTCATTCACATGTGTTTCATAAACACATAATCCTAACCCTAACCAAAAAAAGGTTACGGACTGCAGCTTTAATGAAGTTAATGTGTTAAACTGACAGCCCTAATTGTTACATTCATTAATTACATAATTTTTTTTTTGTTAATGTTACTGTGTCATCATTTGCTCACCATCTAACGTTCCACACCCATATGGCTTTTCTGTGTATTTCATGGAACTCAAAATGAGAGTGGGCTGACAAAAACTCCAAAAAGAGCGACACAACATATAAGATTCATATATGTGCGTTGCTTGCCTGGGCAGCGCCCACACTGAGGCTGTGCTCACTGGGACCGAATGCTCTCACTGCGAGAGTATGAGTCTCGACATGTTTTGCTTGCAGATCGCCCTCTTTCACAAAAGTGGTCCTCCCCAGCCCTCCCGGTGCTCTCCTGTTTCCTCCCTCCCAGAAGTCTCGGAGGAAGAAACAGCAGAGCAGCGAGGTTCAATCTGGCTCGAGCGAATTCACGCCAGCACAAGGCCCACTTGCTTCACTCTCCCCGCAATGCCTCGATTTGCCTGTGTGCTTCACACGTGAGGATCAACGCCCCTTATCGGCTGCGAGCGGTCTGATTTACTTCAGTAGATCTGAGGAGGAAGTTGTCACTGATGACTATGTCATTGACAGTTTCTGACACAGAGGAGTGGGCGTGTGCTGGTGAAGATCCTGACACCCTCCACTTCATCTCTACGAACACAGCCCAGCGCGAACAGTGAGCTGATCCGTGTTCTTACCAAGGCTGTTAAGTATCTTGGCCTAGCTTGGTCGGCTCTGGACCAGTACCACTCGTCTAATCTTTTAGACAAGTGGTACCTGAAAGAATGCGTCAATATTCCTCTCACCAGCGGCCAACAAGCAGTCGCTGCGCATCTCTGCCCTTCATCGGCCCTGGGGGTAAAAGTCCATGCAGCACATCCATCTAAGCCCTGCAGGACAACCACTGCTCAAACCTGGCTCTGTGCGCCACACAGGCCACTGTGCAGGCAATTGGCAAGGCCATGGCCAATTTGGTGGTGCTAGAGCGCCACCTTTGGCTAAATTTGATGGAGATTAGAGATGCTGACAGGGTCGCCTTCCTCGACTCCCCAATCTCTCCTAAGGGACTGTTAGGCCCTGACGTGGATGTATTTGCCAAACATTTTACAGCAGCTCAGAAGTCATCGCAGGCCATGTGTCACTTCCTGCCGAAGTGATCTAGTTGAAACAGATCTTCGCACAGATATGCCCTGGGGATCCGCATTAAAAACTATTTTTCAGAGGATGCTCTGCCTTATGTTAGTCGCCTCCTCTATGATCCCTCTGGGCCTGGTTCACATGCGGCCCCTTCAATAATGGCTCAAAGCTCATGTATCGTCCCACGCTTGGTGCCTGGCATCCTGTCGAGCCTGACCTCTATAAGGAAGGTGGTCATGACAGATGCCTCTAACTAAGGTTGGGGAGCACTGTTTGAGGGCAGACCGGTGTTTGGCTCCTGGTCAAACATGAAGCAATGCTTGCACATCAACTGCCTTGAGATGATGGCAGTTTCTTTAGCCCTGAAAGCCATCCTACTGGCCTTAAAGGGGCACCATGTCCTGATCTGCTTGGACACCATGAGGGTGGTAGCCTTTATAAATCACCAAGGCAGTCTCAGGTCACGTTCCTTTTACAGGGTTTTGCCTCCTTTTATGGGCACAGCACAATCTACTCTCACTGAGAGCAGTTCATGTGCCGGGCAGACTGAACCAAGGAGCGGACATGCTGTCCAGGGGCAATGTAGCCCAACTCTAGGCACTTGACGCTTAAGACCGCCCTCCTTTTGGTATTAATGTTGGTCAAGTGAGTAGATCAGTACTTCCTTGAGTTTGGTCCTTATGACTGTAAAGTCACCCTCAAACCAAGACTTGCCTACGAAGCAGAGACCTCACTGGATGGTTGATGCGATAGCCCTGACTTATGCCTCAGAGGGCTTACAGTGTCCTATCCGAGTGAGGGCCTCCTCCTGGGCATGGTCCAGTGGGATTTTTAATGATAATATTTGTGTGGCCACTGGCTTGTTGTCGCCATCAACCTTTACGAGGTTTTACAACTTAGACGTCCATGCCTTCCAGGCACAAATTTTGTCTGCTTAATTCACCTAATCCCCACTGTGAGAGGAAAAGGTCCTGCTATTTAGTCCCCAGCCAGTTTTGCACTTGCTTATAGCACGACACTATTAGATGTGTTCCTCATAAGCATGTTAACACAATGGGAAAGACCGTTCGATAGGGAATGCTCCAGTTACTAACGTAACCTCGGTTCCCTGAGATAAGGAACGACCGTTGTGTATGCAACCGTGCTATATGGCTGATGATACACGGGCAACTTTTTGAGCAATGTTGCCTTCAACAGGCAACCAGGTGAGACACAGGGCCCACGATGGATCTAACTTATCCAGATAGAAATGTGTTACATATTCTCAATGAGAAAGTGTCCAAGCAACATTGCTCAAAAAAGTTGCCAAGCAAAATTGCTCAAAAAGTTGCCCACTGCATGCGAGTCAGCGGCTGTCACTGACAGTCGTAAGATTCTGACGAATGGAGCTCTGAGCCAACGTACATAGAAGTAAATGCAGTTACAAGAACATGAACAAATCAAGCTTCAGTATCAGAGTAAACAGGAGATTCCCCATAAGTGTGTTATGGCAACGCTCATTCCCTTATCTCAGGGAACAGAGGTTATGTTAGTAACCGGAGTGTTTTAATCCATTCAGCACAATGGTCCCTGAAAACCAGCTTTCTTCAAAATATCTTTTGTGTTCCAAAGAGGAGAGAAATTCATAGAGGTTTGGAACAGCATGAGGGTGAGTAAATGATGATATAAGTTTCATTTTTGGGTGAATTATCACTTTGAAGGTTTTGGGTTTGATTCCATTAGGACTGGTTTTCTAAATGGTTAATATTTCCAATTCTATTTTCATTCCTTCAGGATTTCTTGACAAAGGTATGTTGGTAGTTGTCAAAGACTACACTGAAACTCATTTTATATATGAATATATGTCATATATTAAATATCTGTATGGAATAATCTTTGAAAACTCAGTGCTAAGGGAGGTACATAAGATTTTAAATGATTCAACACACTTTCTGAATCTTGAATTTGAAATGTTGTCACCAGGGAAGAGGTTTAGAATGCCAAGCTGTAGACTGAATAAATAGTACTGTATTAAATAGAGCTAAGAGACTTGACTACAGTATAAAGTCTTTAAGGTTTTTATAATTGTTTATAGGCTTGTGATTATGCATTTGTGCTAAATGTTGTGAGTTTTATTGTTATTTATGTGATGCAGTTTCTTCTTCTTGAGCCCAAGTTAAATTCCCCTTTGGGACAAAAAAGTATAGCCTACCTTATCCTACCATATTATTAAACGTGTGTAGTTGCATAACTTGTTTGTGATATTGACAAGAATGGGACCTCAGATTGTGATGAGATGGTAAAATGATAAATTTAGCCAAATTAAAAAATAAAACAGTAAACCACCCAAAACAACCTCTTGCTGTCAGACTCTGTTCCATGTTTTGTGTGTGTCCTGCTCCCCATGTGCCTTCCCAAGGGTCACTTAAAGTTTTCTTTCCCTGTTTACTTTAATGCAAATGTGGTTCTCAACACGTTTTGATTCAGGAACAGGTTTTTACATTGGACTTTGCTTGAGGTCAGTATTTATTTTTTTATTATTATTTTGAAAGAAATTAATTTTATTCAGCAAGGATTTGTTAAATTGATAGAAAAAGTGATTGTTAAGATTTATATTGTTAGAAATCTATCTAAAATCTAAATCTAAATTGTCTAGAAATCTATTTTTTTAATAAATGCTGTTTTTTTTTTTTTGTTTTTTTTACTTTTTATTTATCAATGAACCCCAAAAAAGTATCACAGGTTCATTCATAAAGTATTGATAAAGCATTAAAAAAATAAATAAATAAAAATCCAGCAAAACAGTTTCCAACATTTATAATAAATCAGCATATTAGAATAATTTCTGAAGGATCATGCACTGAAGACTAGAGTAATGATGCTGAAAATTCAGCTTTGCATCACAGAAATAAATACTATTTTAAAGTATATTAGAAAAACATTCTTTTAAATTGAAATAATATTTCACAATATTACAGTTGTTTGCTAGCTTGATGAGCATGAGACACTTTCATAAAGCTGCATAATATACTAAAGTCCTTTCACGTCACCATTTCGCCAGCTGACACTTCACATAATAGGCTTAGGTGGCACTTGGGTTTCAAAGTTTCATGGAATAGTAAACGGAGTATCAACATACATAAATATAAGTGTATTGAATACTGCTTACCATTATTGCGACTTTTGTCACTGCACGGTTTTGTGCAGTGCTTTTGTAGTCATTTAGCATCCATTTTCTTAGCAATGCAATTTGATTTATAAAACGAGACAAACCGCATATCCAGATCACTGCACAAATGTAAGCTCTTCTGTCCCATGTAATTTTCAACCGATTTATGAATAAGAACGGGAAATGACCACTGCACTTCACATTGTTGTCCAATGAAATTTGAACTTGTGCCAGATCATGATTGGTGTAGCCTATTATATACATGACAAACAGGCATTGATGAATTATGTAATATTCTAAAATATATAATATATGGATTTTTTATTAAATCGACACACTAGCTTTGATTATTTATTGAAAAAAATTATTAAAATATTGTTTGGTTTATTTTTTCCTTCCGTCGACCCACTCACTGAAATATGCCTTGAGAGGTTTCCGAGCAGACTATGGAATATCTGGAATATCAAGCAAAACGCACGCAACCGCAACGCCTCAGATTGACAGATATGTAAAGATAAACAACAATTTTTCGACTTTTGAGCGATTATTTACTGTTTTGTACACATTGTCATGTTAATTATAATTCAAATGCATTTTGTTTTACTGACCACAATATCATTGCTAGTGTCTGTCTGAGAGGGGCACTTTTGAATATTTTTGAAAAAGGGGACATATATATATATATATATATATATATAGGCTATTAATCACTGCTCAGTAGCTACTGGGCTTTAGATTTATAAATTAAGCATAGTGAGCAAATACTACTTTGAATCGATTCCTGTGAGTTTGGTCAAATGTTTATATTCGAGTTCAGGTGTGTTTGACCTGAAGTAGCGCTGCGCAGACCGATCGGTGTAGGACTAGGCCAGGGGTAGGCAAGTTTGGTCCTAGAGAGCCGCAGTCCTGCAGAGTTCAGCTCCCAACCTAATCAAACGTTTTGTTTTCAGGGTTGGAGCTGAACTCTGCAGGACTGCGGCTCTCTAGGACCGAACTTGCCTACCCCTGGACTAGGCTATATCAAATTACCGAGAAGCATAGGAGCCGTCTGATCTTTATTCGCTCAAGTCGAGCACACCTTCTGATGCGTGACTAATCATTCAAAGTGACATGGGAGGAGTTGTGAGTGGATGTTAACTTTACTTTCTGTTTCAGATCTTTTTAACAGTATATATATCTCTACAGAAAAAACATTACATGATCTATGGTAAGGTTTCTCACACTGGACTGAATCATGGTGGAGACTCAGGAGAGATTCACTTTATTTCATTTATTGGAATACCTGTTTACTTTGGTGGGACTGTTATTGTTCCTGCTGGATATAGCGCTGGACATTTGGACTGTTGTGTCATTTTATCAGGATGGGGCCTATGTGTATATGGCAGTGATGATCTTTCTGCTGCTGGGCTCTTCAGTGTTGTTACAGGTGTTCAGCTGGCTCTGGTACTCTGATTCCCTGGAGAAGATTGAGACTAAGGTGGAGACATTTGCAAAGAGGCATTTATTGATCAAACCATTCCACTTCCTGCAGCTCGGAGTCTACCTCAGGTCTGTGACAGATTTGCTTCTCAATTTTCAGTACACTTTAGTATATATTTTTTAGAAGATCCCTTATTACAGAAATAAGATACTTCATCATCATTTACTCACCCTCATGTATTTCCAAAATGAAAATTAAGATATTTTGAATGAAATCTGAAAGTCAATCTGTTTACAAATCTAAATAAAACGTACTTCAAATGCAGAGCAAAATCCAAATTGTGGCCTCAATGTTGGCTGTTGTAAAGTGTTGCTTGAGTAAAAGCAAGTACCTTGTATTGACAGGTATGCTGGGGTGATAGAGATTTCCACAACACATTTTCTTCGGCACACTAACAGTTTCACAGAGGGTGTAGCTGTGTACCTGAACCATGATCTTCAGATGCTTCGTCTATTTGAGACATTTTCTGAAAGCGCCCCACAACTCACACTCATGATGTCTATAATCCTACAGAGAGGAGAGCTGGAGCTTACTACAGGTCTGTCTCAAATACAGAACACTGTTTCTTTCAGATCTTATTTTTTATACGTCTCAAAACCACTTAAAGTGATAATTCAAAGTTAGTCATGTGACTGCTGCAGAGACCTGGAGGGCAAAACATAGAATTCCACAGAACTCATAGGGCTTCAGACCAGTCAAGTTTCAATTTGTTTCAAGCCACAAATATTTTAGATCATCTCCATAGACAGCACCTCAGTGCAGTGTATCAATCAGTAAACAGCGGGTTATTCTAAAATGCTTAACATGGCTTAATAGGTGCGTCCCAATTTGTGTACTTATGCACAATTCTATGCCAATTTTAGTTTATATAGTGATTAAATGTGATTAGTGTGTTAACACTATAAATTCCTAAAAGAAAATGTGAACTTTAAATACCCGGATGAGGCACTTGTTTTAAC